AAAGTCCCCTCCCAGCACCCTTGTAGGCCCCTTCAGGTACTGGAAAGCTGCAATGAAGTCTCCTCATTGGAGAGAATACTATAGGTTATATATACTATATGTATATACTATACATATAGGTTCCTCCTATATGGCTTTTCAAAATCCTAGTATTTCCAGGGTAAAGCAACATACTTAGGTAGATAACTTGGCAAACAGAAGGCAGGATGTATTTCCTGCTAGCAGTTAGTTAATAAATTTACAACCATGTGCTGAGTAGCGAGAGTCAGAGCCAGAGAACCTGAGAGCTGCAGCCTGAGAGCGATTGCAACCCGAGAGCCACAGCCCAACGGCCAGAGCCTGAGAGCTATCGCAGTAGATTCCAAACACCACCAGTGATAGCAAGCCCGGGAAAACTAAACAAACCCACCAACTCCCTCAGGAACGAGCCAGCACAGGAGTTAGCAAAGCAGCTAACGCAGGAGTCAGGGAGAGTGTTAGCAAGTGTACGGGAGCAAACGAGAGAGAGTAAGGGAGAGAGTAATGGCTCCCGGATCCCCTCCTCACCTCTGCCCTGAGCATGATGTACTATGGCATGAAATACTCCCTTGGTCAGTTTGGGTCAGGTGCCTGAACTGTGTGTCCCCTACGCTGCCTGCAGTGAGACAGCGAGAGCTGGGAACACAGCTGCAGGATCAGAAGCGCAGAAAGAGTTTGAATTCAGTGCAGGCATTCCCCAGTGCCAGCTGAGAACTTATCAGTGCTGCTCTCTGCATCCAGGAGCACAGCTTTCTAGCAGCCACGGTAAAGAGAGTTAACCCTTTCCTGACTGAACCCAGCACACTTGTCAGTGTGAAACCTGTGCTTCCAACTGTGAGGCCGTACTGATTTTCTCTGACACACTACATTTTGTTCTACTTGTTTTATTCCAGACTGTTGAGAAAGGAGGTTCCTGAGAGAAGAGCCTCAGTTTTTTTCTTCTACCTCTTATTTGACCTATTCTGTGTTCTCATGCTAGAAGTTTACAGAGAGCCTGAGGAGCCCCTTGTTTTCCTCTCAGCACTTAAATACCTGTAAACCATAGTGTACTGTGGTCTGGCAGCTCTATTTTATGACAGTGTGCATCTCTTCGTAACCACTGATGTCTGAAAGCTCATACTATGGTCTTTGGCTTTGACTTGCAAGAATAAAAGTGGGAAGATGCAGATCACAGAAAAGGAACAATTGACTTGCAAGAATAAAGGTGGGAAGATGCAGATCACAGAATAGGAACAAGGTATCAAAATAATATGGAGGAACTTATATGAAAGTGTCCATGTAGTTCAGGTGTGGTTCTGTGAAAGCTCACAGTTGTGTTTTTATTCCCAGGTCTCTTGTGGAGGAAAGTTGCTTGTTCTACATGCTCATAGCCTACATGTGTGAGCTTAAAGAGGTGGTGAACAGTGCCTATGAAGGGACTTGTGGGTACTTTAGAACTCATGCTCAGCCTCTGTCAGGTATGTGGCAGGCTCCTCCTCAAGGAGGATGACCTCCATATAGAGAATGAGAACCATGCTTTCCTGGCTCTAATCTAGTAAGTCTAATACAGGAAAGAAGATGAACATATTCCAATAGTATTTTTTGCCCATATCCACTTACCTGGGGTCTCAATCAACATCTGGTGGCTACCAGCCATGACATGCTGATGCTCAACCAGTCACTCTGTCCCCCTGGCTCTGATGGAAATGATTTTGAGTGGCAGGAAGAAAGAATGGGCTTTCAGACTGCTTTCTTTTCCAGAGGAAGGGGTCATTAATTCACTCTGCAATTATTTTAGGAGGCCAGAAGGTGGGTTAAGATTTAATGATGAGGGTTTTACTTATACCTTTGAAGGCACGTATTTTGCTTACCTGTGGCTGAAACTGACAGAGATGCCATGTAAAGCAGCTGCTCCTAGAGCAACATTAGCAGTTAGTGTCACTGGAGGAATAACAGACCAGATCACTGCTTCAAAGACAGCTCAGGGAGGTGACATAGAAAACAATTCCTGGACTGAGGTACTGCCTATAGGTTTGGTCTTCCACATCATGGTGACCTGTGGAGGAGTAGCATGCTCCCTTGGGGATTGTGCTGATGCAAGGAAATAGATGTCTAACACTTGTAAGCACAGTGATAAGAGGAAAGAGAACTGGAATCTGACCAGGAAAATAAGCATTCCCATAGATGCAACTGCCTTGATTACCAAGGGGAAAAAGTCAAGTTAATTTATATTGTTACAAGGCAGCTGAATGGGTGCTTCATATATGTTCAGATGGTAGATTACTTTGACACTCAGACAGGGAAGTGGTGCAATACCTCACCTTCCATATTGAAGTGCACTATAAACCTGTTGTTGTCATTTCCAGACGAAAATTTCCTGAGTGTGCACAGCTCAAAAAGAACCTTTGGATATCAAGTTGCAGAAAAGGAAATGAGCAAATTAATTAATATGGTTGCAATATTACCAAGTACCTGCACTTTATATTTGGTACATGCAATGTGCTCAGTTGGAGACCACAAGAAGGTCCCTGCTGTATGGAGGCATTGTTTATGCAGGTGAAAGATTACCTCAGAAATATTCTCTCTGTCCAAATACCTTCTGAGTACACCAGAAAGGAAGAAAATGGGAAAATTCTGGCAGACCCTTCAAAAGTTCTTGATTACTCAGTTTCCCATACAGTCAAACTACCCTTCAAAGTTCTTCTAAAAATTGCAATTTATTTGGAAAGGTAAAAATAAAAATCCCTGTAAATAAAGAATGACTTTTCACTTGTACCGAAACCTTTTTCACTTGACTTCCTCACCTTGCAACAGTCTGCAGAAACTTCTAATTTCTACTTAGTGTGTACTTCAACAGTCTCTTCATTTCAAGTGGACGTCATACATTTTAGGGTCAATTAAATGAATTTAAAAACAGAGCACTTTGAAAAATAATTTAAAGCAGAAATAGACTTGGAATTAAGGAGTTATCTGTAGTAGCTTTATTACATGAGCTCTTTTCTATGCAGCCAGATTCTTCTCAGGCATTTGTGAACTCTGTTTGGTTTGGGCAAGGTGAGATGCTCATTCTGCACCTCCTGGAATGCTTTGTGTCTACAAAGCATTTTGGCTTGTCTATCAAGAAAAGGCCAATGCTTTACTATTTGAAGGGGAAAAGGGATAAAACAAGGTTTGGTAGAGATAAATCTCGGGGCAGCAAACCAATGTTTGAGAGGTGGTATGCTAGTGAGGTCCTTCAGTCTGCTGTCTCAGTGGAGGTAAGGGATGGAGATCTATGTGGCTGCAAAGACACAAGGGTCATTAATGTGTTAGGGTCATGGAAGCACCTGAGAATGGCCATGTAATAATTAGAGCTTTGCCTCCAGAAAGGTGGTGGGATCATTAACTCAACTGAAGTTCATCTACACCCATGCATGCACCATGGGCAGCAAACAGGAGGAGCTTCCATCATCCAGCTGGAAAACTATGATATAGTTGCCATCATGGAAACAAGGTGGGATGACTTGCACAAGTGAGATGCTGCAATGGATGGCTATAAACTCTTCAGAAGGGATAGGCAAGGAAGGACAGATGGTGGAGTAGCCCTGTATGTTAGGGAATGTTTTGGATATCTAGAGCTTGATGATGCTGATGATAAGGTTGAGTGTTTATGGGTAAGAATCAAGGAGAAGGCCAACAAGGCAGATATCATGGTGGGAGTCTATTACTGACCATCCAACCAGGATGAAGAGACTGACAGAGTATTCTATAAGCAGCTTGGATTAGTCTCACAACCACGAGTCCTTGTTCCCATGGGGGACTTCAGCTTACCAGATGTTTGCTGGAAATACAATACGGCAGAGGAGACAATCTTGGGGGTTCCTGGAATGTGTAGAAAATAACTTCCTGACACAGCTGGTGAGGGACTCAGCTAGGGAAGGCACCCCACTGGATCTGCTGATTGTGAACAGAGAAGGACTTGTGGGGGATGTGGTAGTTGAAGGCCATCTTGGGCATAGTGATCATGAAATGCTAGAGTTTTTGATTCTTGGAAAAGTAAGGAGGAGTGTTAGCAGAACTGCTGCCTTGTACTTCCAGAGGGCTGACTTTGGCCTGCTTAGGAGGCTGGTTGACAGAGTCCCTTGGAAGCAGTCCTGAAGGGCAAAGGAGTCCAGGAAGGCAGGACATTCATCAAGAAGGAAATCTTAAAGGTTTAGGACCAGGCCATTCCCATGTGCCAAAATATGAGTCTGGCTGAACAGAAAGCTTTGGTTGGAACTCAGGAAAAAAGGACAGTTTATGCATTCTGGGAGAAGGGTCAGGCAACTCACAAGGATTACAAGGATGTCATGAGGTTATGCAGGGACAATTTTAGAAGGGCTAAAGCCCAACTAGAATTTAATCTGGTTACTGCCATAAAAGACAATAGAAATGGTTCTCTAAATACATTTGAAACAAAAGGATGGCTACATAGAATCTCTATCTTTTATTGGATGTGAGGGAAAACATAGTGATAAAGGATGAGGAAAAGGCTGAGGTACTTAATGCCTTCTTTGCCTCAGTTTTTAATGGTAAGACTAGTGTTCTCTGGGTACCCAGCACCCTGAGCTGGAAGACAGGGGTGGAGAACAGAACAAAGGCCCATAATCCAAGGGGAAATGGTTAGTGACCTGCCATACCACTTAGACACACACAAGTCTATGGGGCTGGATGAGCTCCATCCAAGGGTACTGAGGGAGCTGTCAGAAGTGCTCGCCAAGCCACTTCCAATCCTTTATCAGTAGTTCTGGCTAACTAGGGAGGTTCCAGTTGACTGGAAGTTAGCAAATATGATGTCCATCCACAAGAAGGGACAGAAGGAAGATCTGGGGAGCTATAGACCAGTTAGTCTGACCTTGGTGCCAGCGAAGATTATGGAGCAGATGACCTTGAGTGCCATCACGTGGCATGTACAGGACAACAAGGTGATCAGGCCTTGTTGAGAGCTGAAAGGTTCTACAGAGGGATGATGGATGGGCTGAGGCCAATTGTATGATGTTCAACAAGTCCAAGTGCTGGGTCCTACACTTGGGTCACAACACCCACCTGCAATGCTACAGGCTTGGGGAATAGTGTCTGGGAAGTTGTCAGGCAGAAAAGGATCTGGGTGTGTTGTTTCACAACCCACTGAATGTGAGCCAGCAGTGTGTCCACGTGGCCAAGAAGGCCAATAGTATCCTGGCTTCTATCAGAAATAATGTGGCCAGCAGGACTAGGGAAGTGATTGTCCCCTTGTACTCTCACAGGTGAGGCCGCACCTTGAATACTGTGTTCAGTTTTGGTCCCCTCACTACAAGAAGGACATTGAGGTGCTGGAGCGTATGCAGAGAAGGGTAACAGAGCTGGTGAAGGGTCTAGAGCACAAGTCCTGTGAGGAGCGGCTGAGGGAACTAGAGTTGTTTAGTCTGCAGAAAAGGAGGCTCAGGGGAGACCTTACTGCTCTCTACAACTACCTGGTCTTTTCTCCCAGGTAAGAAGTGATAGGAAAGAGGAAATGGCTTCACATTGCACCAGGGGAGATTTAGATTGGATACTAGGAATAATTTCTTCACTGAAAGGGTTATGAAGCATTGGAACAGGCTACCCAGGGGAGTTACTGAGTTACTATCCCTGGAATCATTTAAAAGATATGTAGATGTGGCGCCTAGAGAGACGATTTAGTGGTGGACTTGGCTGTGCTAGGTTGGCCTTGATGTTCTTAAAGACCTTTTCAAACCTAAACGATGCTATGATTCTATTCTAAGAAGTATTAGATTCTTTGCTAATATTTCAATTAGATTTACTATATTAGGAGTTGCAGAAGTTCCACCATCAGTAACACTGAAAGACTCAGACAGTTTAGTGTGGTCAAAGGAGCCTCAGGGATCGAATCTGTAAAACAAAGATATAACAGAGATTGTCCAGAAAACTTGATGGAAAACAATATAGTGACTTATATGTGTGTATATATATATATATACTATTAAAGGGAAATTTATCACTGAATACTTCTTAACAGTGTTTAGGGAATTTACACTTTCTGCTGTAAATTAAATAAGTCCCCTTTTTGTCTGAATAAGCAGATTCGTTACCTGGTGTACAACAAACTAATCCTCACACACCCAGGAGAGATAGTGTGTTTATTAAGGCCTGGGTGATAGGTGGATTTTCCACAAATCAAGCACACCAGAAACCATCACCATGATGTCTTTTATACCCGTCTTCTATAACATCATTATCATATTAGTACCTATTCTTGACTGGTTAGTAATTTACATACAATTGCATAATCTGGTTGTAGCTAATATGCATGCTCAGGAGAATGGTGTTCACCTGGGCTAGGGTCTTCCTGACCTATGGGCATGATTTTTAGTATTATAATGATGGCAGTTCATTTCAGGACACCCTAAAAGTAAGTTTCGTTGCCAAGATAGCCAGTGGGATAGTTGTCTTGCCAGGTTGTCAAATAAGTCATCCTATATACAATGTCTCACATCTCTCTGATCAGGGTCCAGAGAATAAGGACTTCAAACAACACAGAAGCTAACTCCTTAGGTCAGGATGCCCCATATTACCTTCAGTTATGTCAGAGAAGATGAGAATGAGGTCATAGAACAGAAAGATAGGGGGTTACTACCTGCATAGTTACCATCAGTTTGATCAGACATGCTACTAAGTTATCCTCTGTGGAAAATTTTTTACCTCAGGTCAGTTCTGTCAGGTAGGCTGACAACTCTTCCTTTGGGTGGAATAACTTGACATGCAGGGCATTCTAAAAGGACAAGAAAATATGAAATCAAACATACATATCACAGCTTTGTGGAATCAGGACTTCTGTGTTATCTTTCACTGGTGAGGTATTACAAAGTTTTTTCTGCAAACTTGTTCTTGAAGATAGGAATGACAGTCTCAAGGAACTCTCCCAATTGTCATGACCTTTCATAAGTAATTGAGTGACCTCACAATGATATCAGTCATCTTCCTTGTTAACATCAATGCCAGAGGAGAGTAGATTAAACAAATTTAATAGGGCTGGGGCTTCTTACAGGTTTCACCTATTCTACATGGTAAGATTTTTTTTCCTTCCTGGTAATGAGCCTTTAAGCTGAAAAGGATTATCAATCAGCTGACTTGCAAATGTATTTCAGAAATGCTCAAATAGGTAATTTTTGATTCTGTCTCTACATGTTTCTTCTTCTTCCTGATAATTAATAGGTTTTGTACCAAGAACTAATATGGAACCTTTAAGCATATTCTCTCTTGTGGGTTTGGGTGGGG